ACACGAAGAAGAAAAGAAGAAAGAGAAATGGCGGCGAGCGCTGAGGATAAGGAAGAAAAAGAGGGTGAGAGAGGCAGCCAAAGCGTCCCGAGAAACTTAAGGGCCAAAAATGCGACTCGCAGCCATACTGGGAGCATGTCAAACCCTCCAATGAGCTGTCAGGCAGTCCTGCCTCGCCTTACTTATGCGGCAGCCTAGACAGGTGAACTTGGAAATCACAGCCTGCCCTGCACTGCCGTCTGCCCTCCATTCTGTTCATCTGTGCACAGGCCTGGCATGCATGTGCATATGAGCATGAGGCTGATGTGTCTCCCCAGGGCCTCCAGCGTTGGGGCGAAAATAACGGACACAATGAGATATATATGGCCTTAATTAGGGTGCCAGGTTCCACCAGAACAGGCCTGCTGCAGATAATGAGTCCCGTCATCTGCTGTCTTGTTGACAGTATCGAAAAACTATAAACGCTCAGCTGGGTTGAGTTCTGGTGCTATGAAACGCCGTGACACACGCGGCTGACATTATTACCATGCTCATCACACCATTCAGCGGCTGCTTGTGCTTTGTAGATGGGGGCAAGAAATCTGGAAGATTCCATGCCTACAAGGAGTATATTGCCGCAGCCTTAGGATGATAGTAAGCACTCAGAATTGCTTTGTATTTATTTGCATCTACTTGGAGTGGACAGAAACTGTGCCAGGAGAATGTCCTCTACACCGTCTTAAATCAGCCAGAAGCCTTCGCTGTTGTGAAAAAGACACTCAGCTTGTAGGCTTCTTTTGACCCGAGCTTTTTCAGAATTGGCTAAAGGACGACTCATCTGTCCATCTGTCCAGATCACTTTTCTTCCATTGCTTGGTAGACAAGTCTATTGCAAAAGCTCATTTTGAGGTTTAAAGGCGCTGCAATCCAACCATAGTATCCCCGTCTATGAAGTACTTAATGGAACTGCATGCTCACACCTTGGATTGACATTTGCAGTCAGCTGCTTTGGAGCTGCTCATCTGTTACCCAAGGAGTGCACACTTTCAGCCGGCTCCCTCTATGAGAAGAAGGCTTTCCCTCAGAGGCCCATGCAAGCACTACCTTAGCCTCTGTGTGTCATGAAACATCAGAGATCTTTGTCACAGAAGCTCCCCCTGCACCTGCCCCAACAATCACCTCCCTGCCAGAGCCACTGAAATCTCCTATTGGCAAATGGGCCTGTGCATTTTCACAAACTGCGCTAAGCATGATGGGATGGATGTTAACTGTCTAATTAGCTCTGGATGCACACCATGTACTTTACACCATGTACTTTACACCATGTACTTTACACCACGTGCTTTACACCACGTACTGTACTTTGTATCCTCGTTTACCTTTTATTTTCTGAGTGAATGTGCCTTATATACAATCACAAACCTTGACAATCACACCCTTGAGCAGCAGAAATGACTGCATTCCTGCACTTCCTGTGTATGTTTGGGTGTGTGTGACCTGGCGTGGTGTGTGTGTGTGTGTGTGTGTGTATTGTGCTGTGCCCTTGTCTGCACGCCTGATTGTGTACATGCCTGCACATGGCGGGCCGGGGGAGCTGTCGGCAACACACCGTGTGCATGATTGGCCAACACGCGTGTTTGTATGAAAGGACCTGTCAGTGCTGATTCAGCCCCCCCCCCCAAACTGTAACGAAGCTCCTTCTCACGTAATGCCAACGCCCCCCCTGCCCACCCCACTGTCTCTCTCATCTTCCCCCATTTCCGCATCGGCCTGGGGCAGTTATGGAAAAGCCCGGTCGCTTAGGCTCTTTGCTTTTACTGTCATGTGGGCTCGTCTGAAATTCGCTGCGTCATGCTGTCATTAGATGACAGTTTATGAAATGGAACAATGACGGCTTTCTTTACTGAGCTTCGTTTGCCCTCGTTGGCAAAGCACTAACCCGTCGGCCAGTTGCATAACCTTTGTTTTTCACTCAAAGCCTGTTGGTAGGCTTAACGGATAGTCATAGCTCAGGAATACAGTACAATAAATATGTCATTAAAGTTTATTTTCTTGGAAATGATATATAATAAAGAGGCAATGACAGATTAAGGGCTTTAATAGTTATCATTCAGATACTTGTTCAGTGGGTGGTAGCGTGAGACACCTGCACTGCTGGGTGAAGTGAGGTGAGGTGAGGATCATGCGCTGATTACAGTGCGTTGCCACACCCACCACACGACAAACCACCTCAGGGATGAGAACCTGAGTGCAGCCATATGGCAGGTGATACCTCAGCACCACACTAGTCCGAATGGACCAGTGTGATTTTTTTTATTCCAGTGGCTGGAGTGCCAGTCCTGCCACCAACCCCCAAGTTTTTCCCTGTAAGTTGGAGGACCTGCTTACCGGGCTGGACGTAGATTAACGCTTTGCAGAAGGGCCCAACGAAGTAAAATCACTCATGCGATTCAAACCAGCAACGTTCCAGTTGCTGGCACAGATCCCTATACCCTCAGAGCCACCACTCCAGCCTGGTGAAATCAGCTGGAGGTTTCATCTAAGTTGCTGAACCCTCCTTTTCTGATCGTTCCCTTTCAGGGGTTACAGGCCAGTGAGCATAGCTGTGTGTGTCTTTTGCTTTTCAGGGTAATCATTTCCCAGTTTAACTTCATCATTGAAAGCTAGTTTTTTCCCAAATCTTTTCTGCTGCTCTTTCCCCCCTCCCCCAGTTCCCTTCACCACCCCTCAGCGATGCCCCCTTTATGAGGCTGCAGACACGACAATGTTGAGATGATCAGGCTGCTCGGTGTCACTCGCCCCCACCAACGTGCCCCAAGACAGACCGCACCACCAGCCATGCCTTTTCCACTGCCACACTTTACCCACCCCCCACCCCCCTCCGCTTGACTTGTCGAAAACCCCCAGAGCGTGACAGACACTGGGGATCCTCCCAGCCTCCTCTCTGCCCGCCACCGGCCTGCTCTAGCCAACCTCCACCATCGTGCTGATGCAGCAGCAACATGCCATGTATCTGGTCTGTTCGACTCAGATGCTTATGGAGTCGGGGCTCAGTGTCCATGTGAGCAGGTGCACTCCTGCATCCTTCCGTTTCACCCATCATTGTTTCGGTGGCCTGCTTCTGAGTGACATAATGCTGTTCTTCTCTCCTCTTTCACTTGTGAGCCACAGCTTTTCCTGTTTGGATAATCACGCTTAGGACTGGAAGGCATTATCAATGTTTTATGGAGTTTAAAAGGCAATTACAATGGAAAATGAGACTGGCACATCCGTCAGTATTGCGGAGAGCCTGTAAATCCCTCTCAACCTTCTGAAGCTTCTCTTGTTCTCTAGGTATGAGATCAAGTATGACAAAGATGACTATCTGCTGCGGATCAAGAAGGCATCAGGCAGCGATGAGGGCAGTTTCACCTGCGTGGCAGAGAACCGTGTGGGCAAAGTGGAGGCCATCGCCACCCTGACTGTCAGAGGTGAGTACGGGCCGATGGGCGGGGCTGCGGTTAGTGTACATGGGCATGTCCTCTGATACATTTAGCATATTGCAAAGAATCATTTTTGGCGCCTGGCTTTGGCTCTTTTAGCATTAGCTGAGTAGAAGCACATGGCCACCGATGTCTTAGCATTAACGTAACGTTAAAGCGCGTTGCTTTAAATGAGTTGTTATTCCTACTAAGATGAACACAGAGGCAATTCCACAGCGTGTGAGGTGAATGGGCTGCACAGCCTGCGTTCCGACCACATTACAGCTCGCTGAGTACAGTGAGTCACAGTGAAGCCCATGTTTCACCACCTTTCGCTGATGACATCCCTTTCCAGTGAGGTGTGAGGGAGATCATAATTACCGAAACCCTCCCACGTCAAAAGACACATTTTTGGGGGTAGAAAACCATTTAGCATCAAGTTGGTTATTTATAGACATTAGGATTAGAAATAGGTTACAATCGATTGTTATAATTCCATTGAGCCGCAATCAGGTATTGTTAAATGAGCAAGAGGGAGGGCTTTAGAGCTTTAATGCTAGCATTGTTGGAACATTACAGTGTAACTATGCTCCTCAGCTAATGAACGAACCCTCTCAGGCTCAGGGTCTCCACAGGCTTGAATTCTCTCTCACCATATGCCCATTGAAGCTGCGTCACATGTTACTGGTACCAATCATGCATTACTCAGCAGAGGGGGGTCAATAAAAGCATTTTTTGCTATAACCTCCCCACTTCCTCCTAATAAATGCTGTAAATCAGACCTTCTGAGGCCTCTGTGAGTCACTTGGAGGGGGATCCAGGGCAGGTGTGGGGGGGGGGGGGGGGTTGAGGCTTGATGCCCCAGCCTGTAGGGTCCACTTCAGGTGCACGGTGAATGTAGTACAGGGGTGTTAAAGTTTTGCCATTCTCAACACACTCTTATCTAAAGCTTACTGCACAAATTCAATCTAGAGAGGTGGGAAAATTGATGGTAAAGTAATTAATTTATGCAAATTACCTCTGATTACGTTAAGGTAAATTCCATACTTGAGTATTCCACCAGGTGGAGCTATACTACAACGGGAATCCTATTAACACAGCCATTGTGGAAAGGCCAGCATTGGTACCCAGATACCAACAGGAAGTCAAAAATCAATCAGAAATGAAGCAATGAATCAGTCATATTGGCAAGACCTAGCAGTAGAGATAATGAGACTGATTAGGGGTCGCTGGTCACATTTTGGTGGTAACTAAATAACCCAGAGAGGATGTTCTCATTTGACCCCAGAGTGTCTCTCATTCACAAGCCCCCCCCATAATTGATACCAGCCTCACTTTCAGCTGGTATCTGTGACTGTTGATATGGTGCAGGGCGTCATTCATTCTGACTTCTTTCTTTTTCTTACCCCCCTCCATTTTGTCCTCCCTTTCCTGTGGTTTTTATTTTTCCCCTCTCACGACACCATTGTTTCTGTGTCCAGATCGCCCAGTGGGTAAGTATCCATAGCCCTTTGCTGCCTCCATGGTGCATGGGCACTGTCCCTCCCCCCCACACACTCCCCAGCCTGTGAGTTAACCCCATTAATGCCCCCCAGTCGCATGGCTTGACCGCTTCTCCACACAGTGCTCACCCTAGAAGGACAAACCTAGCCAGTAGCCCGTTCACGCTATAGTGTCGCTAACCCATGCCTACTAACCAGCAGATACAGTGTGCGAAAGCTTTCTAAATACATACGCTAATCTGGCTTTGTCAAAGGGATGGTACATTTGGCTGGGATGCGGAAATTTCACTTCTACTGCTTTGGATTGGTGGAGGTTCTTTTATAATCAGCTGTGTTTCTGGGAATGTAAAATCCCGACACCTGTGGGATGTCTAGACTGACAGGTGTCAGAATGCATGTTGAGTGATTCTGACCTCTAGAGAAATGAATGGAGAGTCCCCACTACAAACCTGTGTGTGTGTGTGTGTGAGAGAGCTTGCACTTGTGCGTGTGTGTGTGTGTGTGTGTGAGAGAGCTTGCACTTGTGTGTGTGTGTGTGCGTGTGTGTGTGTGAGAGAGCTTGCACTTGGTTGTGTGTGTGTGTGTGTGTGTGCGCGCACGTGTGTGTGTTCATAAACCTAAGGCTAAAGGGACACGGCTGGATGGAGCACAGACTGGCAGAGTGTCTGACTCCGAGGCTGAAGCACTGCTGGCTGCCGCATGATTATCGGGAGCCTGTCAGCCGGGTGGCAGATTTGGAAAATGAAACGTTCCTTGCGTCTGCAGGAAGGAGACAGTAATTGTTGGAAGGCTCTCAATAAAACATGATTGAATGTGAGCTCAAAAGGATCTGAGTGTGTGTGCAGGTGTGTGTGTCAGCCTGGGCTTTTGTTTCTGCTTGAATGTCAGTTTATATATGTTCAGCCTTTCATCCATACGCCTGTTATGTTTTTTTGATGAGGGATAGTATGTGTGTGTGTGTGTGTGTGTGTGCGTGTGATGGATGTGTGTGTGTGGGGGAGCCAGGGGTTTAGTGACACCATCTCCTGGCCGTCCTGAAGTTCTAGCCATGGGATGGCAAGCTCTAAAGAACATGGGGAGACCTGCATGTTTTCAATATGGGGCCTGCTCACATTTTCTAGCCAGGCATCTTTTGGACAAAGCATGATAACCTAACCCACCGACTCAAAAGAGCTATTAGAGGCCAAGGTTTGCAGTTCCTACCTGTCAGAATCAGTGAATGCCATCAGATTGGTCTCCTAGGATACACGAGGCACCCTATAATATTCCACGGGAAGGTGACAGAGCTCAGTCTGGGCCCTCACCCAGAGTGATGATGACAGTCATTCTCAGGACGAACCCGCGAAGTTGCCTGTGATTGGCTGTCACCACCGTGTGTTATGCGCGCCTTTTCCCGTTCTGAGAAACACTGCCTGTTAGTATGCAGGCTCTGTTTCACATAAAGATATTCTGGGGGGGTGAGGGGCACGGATATTCTTCTGAAGGGCATACTCAGGTTCCCGGGAGGCGGGGGGTGAGGAGGTGAAGGTGAAGGTGCCGTACACCCCCGGGCAGGCATCATGACAGCGACAGGCCACCCCCCTGCAGGTGCTGGGGCACAGGTGGGCTTTCAGGGAGGTCAGACACATCTTAGACCAGCGTTTCCCAACCCGTCCTCGGGGACACCAGACAGTCCACACTTTGGGAGCTGGGACAGAGCAAAAATGCCGCCTGTTTGTGGCTCCCTGAGGACTGGATTGGGAAACATCTCACTGTTTGTTTATAGAGCAGAAATATAGCAAAGTACAGAAGAGAGTTCTGGATTCGGAGCAGTTTTAGCTGTATTCTGTAACAGCGTTTACATGGCTGGGCATTGACCATCGCTTGGTTTCCACTAAACATCAGCTTGGGGGTGCGAGTTTCTCGGGAAGTGAAATCCCTTTAATGATGGGGAGGGATTACCCAGGTGCGTTTAGGTCTCGCCGGCCAAGCACTCCTTACCATGGCCCCTCCCCCATGCGGCAGTGCGTTTGGGGTACACAGTGGGGCTAAATGGTAAAAGCTCTGAAACTGCACGTTACCTGTAACTTCCCGGAAGTCTTTTCAGCTAATTGAAAGTGAAATTGCACCATGCAGATATTTGCACATTGGGTGGGGGGTGACCTGCGTGCTGTCACTCATTTTTCCGGATCAGCTGCTCGCATGAAAGGCTTCAGCGTGACTGACGTGCTCTTGTCAGCCCTCCACTCTATGCTCCCTTAATTAGCCAAAAACTAACGCAGATAAAACGCTCCTGCATGGAGGCTAGTAATTACATCCCTGTCTGGTACGACTCGGCTAATTCTGTGCCCGCTGATGCCTGGACCGCTTGACCCTCGCTGGGCCCCTCCTGCTACCCTGCTGCCCACCCCCCACATGTCCAGAGCTCTTTGTGCTCTTCCCTTTTTTGACTTTTCACTCCCTCTTGCCCCCTCCCCAATCCTCCATAGCGCCTCCTCAGTTCGTCATTCGCCCACGGGACCAGATCGTGGCACAGGGGCGGACGGCCACGTTCCCCTGCGAGACCAGGGGGAACCCGCAGCCCGCTGTGTTCTGGCAGAAAGAAGGCAGCCAGGTAAGAGGCCTCCCCACTGCTAGCAGAACCTACAGAACCTATGGGACCTACAGGCAACTGTTCAGGCAGTAGGAACCATGCTGCTCTTAGAAGTCATGCTGACAGCACCCAGGTGAGCTCTCCCAAAGCCTTTTTAAAAAATACTGTAGGAAAAGCCCTCAGCTGCATTTGCTGATCAGGCGTGTGTGTCCGTCGTCGAAGCTGAGGAAAACGCCCCATGCCATTGCCAGAGTGGCGTCCTGGGAGGAGCTTTTTGGGTATGGTGGGTGGGCACCAGTGTTTGAATTGTGTCAGAGGTCTTAGTGGGTCCTCTGGTGGGCGGCGAGGGGGGGTGCCAGTAAATGATGTCGACCCCAGAGCTCATGCAAATGCCGCAGGGTCAGCCTGAAGGTGAAAACATGTGGCCACCTATAAGGTGACTTTTATATGCACACACACAGACACGGACGCACATGTAGGGTAAACATATCCTTATGGGGACCGCTCATTCATTTCAATGGGAAAAATGCTAACGCTAACTATGGCAACCTTAACCCCTCTCCTGCCCTAACCATAACCATAAGTAACCTAACAAAATACAAGAGTTTTTGCATTTTTAGTTTTTTCATAGCAGTCACTGATTTTTATAAAATAGAGTTTTCCCTTATGGGGACCAGGAAACCGGTCCCCATAAGGGAAAAAATGGATATTTATCACAGTATGGGGACATTGTGTCCCCATAAGGATAGGTATTCCCGCTCACATGCACACACACACACGCGCAGACACACACACGCTTATACGCATATACATGCACATACACGCACATACACACACACGCACACAGACGCTTATACGCAAATACATACACGCACACGCAGACACACATACACACACACAGGCATGCACACACTTACGCGCACACACGTGCACACGCACACACACACATGGGGGTTTGACCTGGGCCACTCCCTCTCCTTCTTAAATGAGATGCAAAGGTATTCGTTAGAAAGGACCATTTAAAGCAGTAATTAAGTAATTAGGCAAGAGGGAGGCTTTCCTGTCACACTTGAGGATGATGAAGTGGACGCGTATCATCCGGTGCAGGGCAGCGGGGGCTAATTAAAAAAACCACATCATTTGCCACATTAAAGTCATTACTTGTAATTGAATACAGCTAATGTCTTTCTTTACCTCTAGTCTAAGGATTTAAGGGGGTGGGGGGGGGCAGCTCAAGGATACGAGGTGATAGAGGTGTATAGGTGAGCCCCCCCTCACACCAACCCTCTCCCTGTGTCCCCCGTCAGCAATGGCCTGCCTCCCATTAGCTAGCTGTGCCGGGATGCATTTCTCCGTTTACCGCGTTTACCGCGTTTACCGCGCGATGTCTGACCGCTAGCTTTGTTAAGTGCGGGGGTGGTCAGTGCCAGTGACCTTGGTGGTTTGCACAAGCGCTCTCTGTGTGAGTGTGCTTTACTGAGAGCTCCTAAACGTGTGGTGCTCGTGAGGATGGCAGTACTGACTCAGCTGCTAATCCCCCCCCCCCCACCCCTGACTCGGCTGTTTCTCTGCCCCCTCCCCTCCAGAACCTGCTGTTTCCCAACCAGCCCCAGCACCCTAACAGCCGCTTCTCCGTGTCTCCCGGCGGGGACCTCACCATCTCCGGCGTGCAGCGCGCCGATGCCGGCTACTACATCTGCCAGGCCCTGACCGTGGCGGGAAGCGTCCTGGCTAAGGCGCAGCTGGAGGTCACTGACGGTGAGACGGGCTGCGGCGCCCCCTACTGGCCGCCCTGGCAGAGCCCAGGTCTTCTGGGTCAAAATTACCGAGACACAGACTTTCTGCCTCCTGCTGTAGATATACACACCGATACACCCACAAAAAACCTTGCATCCTCAACTCACAGAGACCAACACACACATTCCCGATAGACACACTAACTCGAGTCCCACGAAAAGCAAACGACTCTGACAAAGACGCAACGCGCCCCCACCCTGGCTCCTAACCTTGCAGCCGTCGCTCTGTGAAAGCGCTCAGCTCCAGCGCCCACGCGCACGGCCACACACCTGTGGTGAAAGGCATGTGCGAGACCTTGGAAATCTGAAGTGAGCTGGAATGTAAATGCTGGCATTAAAGGCTTAAATGGAAAAGGGCTGTATTTCTCTGCTTTTTTTTTTATTTACGCGGCTGTTACGCGATGAAAGGAAGCAGCGTGGAAGGTTAGCCTAGCGGCCGGCGGCCTCCCGCACGCTTTGTTACGCGAGTGCCTCTGACCTTGCTATTGCAACCGCTAACCGCTTCCTCTTTCGCTCCTATTGTCTGGCTGCTTTTGCTGGACACCATTTAATTAAACATCTATTCAGGCTCTGCCCGAGAGGCAGGGGAAGGCACTGCCCTTGAATCCTCACCAACTTAATGATCAATCTTTGCGAGCCGGGGAAGTGAGCGAGTGATTGAGAGAGGGAGAGTGAGGGAGACGGAGGTATGAGGGAAGCAGGGACGCAGCGAGGGAGCTGAGGAGTGGGCGGGTGGCGTGCCCAGAGGATGGAGCACACACGTCTGTGTGTGGTTTGGGGGGGGGGTTGAGGTTTGGGGGGGGGTTGAGCCGGCGGACACTCGGGTGATTTACGATACAGAGGTCTGATAGCTGAGGAGCGGGTTCAAGGAGATTTGTAATGAGAAAATCCCAATGCAGACAGTCAAGGCCTCTGTGCTCAGCACCTCCTCTCCGTCTGCTGGCCCTCCCTCCATCCGTCTGCTGTCCTCCTCTCCGTCTGCCGTCCCTCCCTCCATCCGTCGTCTTGCGTCCTGATCCCCCACCCCAGAACCCACCTCAGCACGCATTAAGCCGCCACTGCCCCTCCCGTCCACCTGCGCCTGTGAAATAAAACACGGAACAGACCAGAATTAAGGGATTTCCGAAAAGTTCCGGGCAGGCTTTAGGCTGTCGGCCTAAAATATGGCCTGAGATCGACTGGGACTGCAGGTGATACCTGCCGTTAAGCTCGGAGGCTTTCAAAGTGCTCCGTGACTCCCGCTGTGTGCATGCCTGCTCTTAGTTATGACAGGGCGGGTGGCTTTTGCCTTTTTTTGTTTTCCTTGCCGTTCCGGACTCAGCATAATCCTCACAGTGCATTAAAGCTCCTTCCTGCGTAGCCGAGCACAGATAAGGTCGCTCCTGTGGAGCTTTCTGGAAACGCCCCCCCCCCCCCTTATCATGATGCCTGGCCCCTGCTCACCTGTTCCCATTCCTCCTCCTGGCTTTCGGGCAACGGGGCGAGCTGTTCCTTCATCTTCTCAGCTTACCTCACTCCAGCAGAGTGACTGCGAGCGAGCTGAGAGGTTAAGGAAGAAGCCTCCTTAATTAGCTCCAGAGGTATCATTAGGCATCATTAATTCACGCTGGCTAATTAATCTGAAATATAAACTGCGATGGTGCAGGGAGCAGAGCACAGAGTTATTAACACCCAGAATGCACCAAAAGCCAGGCTTCATCTTCTTTCATTAGTCCTCATGTTCTCCTAGAACCTGAGAACCACTGAGTGTAAAAGAGAGATAAGCAATCGCCTGGCTGGGGCGCTTAAATGTTAAGCTAACCTTTGGGGACGTGCCCCCCCACCTGCCCAGCATTCCGTCACCCACAATACCCTGGAAGCGGCCCTCGGTCCAGATCGAGGCCTGATTGGATTCCCTTTAAGATGCTGTGCAGTGTCCATCTGTGCACAGCGATCAATAAGGGCCGGGCCGATTGCCATGGCACGCCGGCGCCTGCAGGGGGACCGTGCGGAAGGAGTGGGGGGGTTAATGTCAGCGATAGCAAGCGGTGACTTCAAATGGCCAAAGCTCCCCAGCTTCATAGGTAGACAGCAAAGGCGAAGGCAGATGTTCCACCCCCAAACACTTGGCTGCCATTTGCTGGAACCCCCAGGTAGCTCTTATGCTGCTGAGGTATGGTTATAATAAAAAGACGCTGTAGCCGCCCAGTGTTTCTGGGCGAGATGGTCTCTGTATGCTACACTGTATCCTCTGTAGGCCGTAATGTATTAAATCACACTTTTATGTTGTATTTGACCTTAGGAGAAGATTGCCTTCAGATTTTGATTTATATACACTGGAGTTTTTCTCACCATGTGGTTTGTTGTCTCCCCCCAGTGCTGACTGACAGGCCGCCCCCCATCATCCGGCAGGGCCCGGCCAATCAGACGCTGGGTGTGGATGGCGTGGCTCTACTGAAGTGCCAGGCGGCCGGGGACCCGATCCCCACCATCAGCTGGCTGAAGGACGGCCTGAGCCTGCTGGGGAAGGAGCCACGCATGTCCCTGCAGGAGATGGGCAGCCTGCAGATCCGGGGGCTACGGGTGAGACTCGGGGGGCACAGGGGGGAGGGGAGAAGCAGCTTCAGCCCAGGCCCGCTCTGCTGGCACGCTTCCGCGCTCCCCCTGCTGGCGGCGGTTTAAATAATCGTTTTTCCTCACACCCCAAACCACATTCGCTGTGAAATAGATCCTGCCTCCAGACAGCGCTGGGCACTTCCCCGTGCGTCTTGCTGGCGGCCCCCTCCATCTCACCCCCCCAGTGTCACCTTCCTGCTTGTGATCCCTGCGTGGTATTATTTGGGGAGTGGTGCGGGACGGCTTGAGAGATTCCAATCGGACATCGGCTAGGCGTAACTTAGGCGGACATGGGGAATCATATTGCTTTTAGGAGATGAATAGGAAATATTGATTTGGGTAAATGGTTTGATGCTATCAGTTAGCGAGGCCCCAACTCCTGCATGCCTCAGCCGCGCCGGCCGGGATGGGCTCCAGCTGCCGAGTGGAGACATGGGGCGTGGCAGGGTTAAACACCCCCCCCCCACCCCCCAAAAATCCAGACCAAGGAGTGAATTTTAAATCTCTGCTTTCCCAGAATTTCCATTACACTTGACAAAGCTGCCGACATTTTATTTAATAAATGGCAGGACGGTCGGGCGGGGTGACAAACAACAGAAACTGAATCGGGGGGGGGGGGGGGGGGGGGGGCAGCTGTCAACAGGCCATAAGGTTTCAGCAGCTGACCCTAAATGAATTTGCCGCCATTGTTGTGGCTGGCCAGGCGGGCAGGAGGACCGGCTGCGTCTGGGGGTGGGGTGACAAGCAAATTGAATTTAGGGCTAAATTAGCATCAGCACTTCCTGGGACACTCAGCGACACGCTGCTCTGACTGCCCCCCCCACACACACACACCCACTAATGCGGCCCCTCCCTGTATCTGCCTGCTCATCCTATCTCTGCCTCTCCTTCACTCTCAAACTGTTCTTTCCCATTCTCACTTTCTGCTTCATTCCCTCTTTCTTAAAGAAACAAATTCTTACTAAATAAATTAACAAAAATTACAAATATTAATACACTGAGTTATTCATAATGTTGGATTCAAGTAAATCATCAAAGATTAATTTTGTTGAAACAATAATAACAAGGAATATAATCAGAACACTTGTACCTTTCCATTTACAGCTCACTGTCCTTCAGGCCTTCATATATACAGCAGAATAGTCCTAACACACACAAACACACACAAACACACACACACACACACACACACACACACACAGACACAGACACACACACACAGTCCCCCGCCTCTCTCTCCTGGATGGTCCGTTTCTCTTTGATCACCTGCTGTAGATTCCAGTAAATCACAGACTCATAGCTTAAGCATTTGACAGGAACAGGAATGTGGGGCAGCTGCTCGGAGTGGGCGCCCCCCTCTGGCTGCGCTTTCCCAGCATTCCCGCCAGGCTCTCAGGAGTTCCATGGATGCGTGACGTGTGGCCGGCTTTGTTCCTCCTGCTCATTAGTCACTGTGATTGACGGGCTGGCATCTTCCATGCAGATGTCTGACTCTGGGATCTACACCTGTGTGGCTGCCAGCTCCAGTGGGGAGACGTCCTGGAGCGCCTTCCTGGAAGTCAGAGGTAACAGCCCCTCCCACTGCGGCGCCCGGCCGTGTCACTCCCTCCCATCCCCCACAATCCAATGAGATAATAATAATAATAATAATAATAATAATAATAATAATAATAGTAGTAATTTATATTGTCAGTTACCCTTCACACAGTGAGATAAAAATGTGTAATTGACTAGAAAATGGCGGCTAATTAATGAATGAAGCCATGGCATTAGCACCCTGTGGATGCAGCCTGAAGCTTAGGGCCCGCTGGCTATGCCAAGCAGCCGTGCACGCAGCCAGAGCCAAACAAGATGCTCTCAGTCCTCCTTTCTGCCACCTCCTCCTCCTCCTCCTGCCGGCCCCCACTCTTCCTCCTGTCCTCTGAACCGCGCTCCCCTCCCGGCAGAGTCGGGGGGGCTCACCGTCGCCAAGAGCCGTGACGAGAACGAGCTGCCCGGCCCGCCGTCCAAGCCGCAGGTCACCGACGTCACCAAAAACAGCGTCTCGCTGTCCTGGCAGCCAGGCGCTGGGGGGGCATCGGCCATCTCCTCCTTCGTCATCGAGGCTTTCAGGTCCGTGCGGCAGCCCAAGCGATTCTCTCAAACTGCATTAAACCGCCGCAAAAATGCGGCGAGTTCCATATGGGATCGTCTTAGACTCATTATAGCCGGCATGAGCAGGACAGCATATAATAGAAAATCAGCTTTACGCCCGGAGAGGGCTATCATGCTTCTTTCTGTGAATTATTCTCCTCTCCTTCTTCCTCAGTCAATCGGTCAGCAACAGCTGGCAGACGGTGGCCGACCATGTGAAGAGCACGCAGTACACGGTCAAAGGTCTCCGACCCAACACCATCTATCTGTTCATGGTGCGGGCCGTCAACAGTCAGGGTCTGAGCGACCCCAGCCCCATATCAGAGCCCGTCCGCACGCAAGGTAAAGGGCTGCCAGCAGGAGGCGTAGTGCGTATCAGGGCAGAGAGCTGATGTTTCTGAGAGTTATACATCTATCATCTAACAAAGCAACTGCCACAGAGCCAATGAAATACAATGAGATGAATGACATGAATTTTGTTTCTCAGAATAATAAACATGGCTTAATAAGTAAATATAAGGATTCATAATGATCTCGAATGATAATGATTTGAAGGATAGGAGAAGAACATATAAGACACTCATCATCTCTGCGTGGGGCAGATACAGTTAGTCTGACAAATCTGTGAGGTGTTTTCAGTCATAATATCTCCCTCATTTACCACCACCTGCTATCTTATTGAAAGTTCCCATCTCGAATGTGAGAATATGGCACGCCTGATTTGCATAATTAATCTCAGTAAAACGGGAGAGGGGTAATATGCTCGAGCATGGAAACACGATTGCCTTCAGGCTAATTCCTCGCTCTGCTCAGCGCGTCTCCCTGCAATCGTCTCTTTCATTCCGGTGCTTAATCCCACGCATCAGCACAGAGCAGAACACATGAGCTGGGACAGGAGGCGAGATCCTCCTGGGCCGCACAGTCTCACATCCCTGCCAGATGTGACTCAGTGCCCCTTGGCACATGCCCGGCTCGGGTCCCGCCACTACGCCCGGGCCTTCTCAGGGTCACCCCCCCCCCCTTCCGGTGAAGTTGGCCCATTGAGACGATGCATGGAGAGACGGTCAGTAGAGACAGACCTCCAGACCTTATTTGGTCTGCCGGGTCATTAAGAGAACCGTTAGGGAATTATGTAAAAGACGCATGACTGCATTGTGGCCATAACTGAATTAGAGTCGTCCCTGCTCCGTTAATGACAAGGACGAGAAAGAAATGGCGGACTCCAAACAGAGGTAGATTAGATTAAGGTAACATACAGACCTCAGTCTCTTTATTTGATAAGCTCCGTGCTTCTCCCTCAAGCCTGTGGTTAAGTCCCGCAGAAATGCGAGGTGAAAGCGGCCAGAGTGGGTACCAGTCACTTCAAATCACTGAGTATCCCTCTTCATTTGCACACACCTTGTGTTGATGCACAGAAATGATTATTGACTGTGGCACTCCGAGAAGATGGATGCATTCTTACTGTCGTGCTGCATTAGCAGGCTAAGACCCGTAGCTAGCTCTTTTATAGCGTTTTTATTCATTTGAAAATGCATTAACTCATATAATGTGCTTCGTTTTCTAGTTTAAATTGTTTCAGGGTCTGTTGGACTGCGTTTTGTTTTAACTTGGATGTAAAGCAGCAGCTCTGTGTATATGACCTTATTTGAAAAACAGATGTGTGTGAGAGAGAGGAAATGGGATATCAAATAAATTCACGCATTTACCCCCCCGTCCCCCCTCCCAAACCTCAGACAGTTCCTCAGGCTAAGCATTTGGGGAGCGAGTAACTGATGTGCTCATTCCGTTGACGTCAACCCGGAGACGCTGAGAACCCTCCTTACAGCCCTTCATGGTTTTCGCTGATTACTTCTTCTACATCAGATAACGTCGCGTTTATTGAGATGAAATAGGCCCTGCCTGCTTCCACGCTGAATGCAGGAATGATTACATTATTTTGATATATGGGTGTATGTGTACCTTGACGACTTTCGAATAGGGCCCACGGAGTTCATGAACTTGTCTACCCCATCAGTGATCATTGTAGAGGGGTTTCGCTCATGAATTAATGTAGTGAAACATGTTGCATGATGGAATGGGAAAATGGCACTCAAATACCCTTCCCCCCCGCCCATCAGATATCAGCCCTCCGGCACAAGGTGTGGACCACAGGCACGTGCAGAAGGAGCTGGGCGAAGTCATCGTACGACTGCACAACCCCATGGTGCTCAGCCCCACAACCATCCAGGTCACATGGATGGTGAGTAATCAGCTGCTGCTGTGATTGGCTGCTGCCTGAGTGGGATTTCTGCTAATTCTGACACTTTTCTTAGCCTCTAACAATGTTGCAGATGGTGGGTGTTTCCATCTTCATTTAGTGGAAAAACATTCCACTAATTGATCATAGGAGCTGGGTGCTAGAATTTGGGTTTATTTCGGAACGTAGACTTACAACTATATATGATAATAATGCCCCGGATCCTGTCCTGGTTGGGTGGTGGAGCAATGAATGGTCTGTGTGAATGTGGCATAGATGCTGACAAAATTAGCAAAGACAACAGGCTAAAACATGTGTCAGCATAAGAAAGGCGCGTGTTTCCTGTGTGATTGAATCAAGGAGCTTAACTGACGAGCTGGAGCAGGAAGGGAGGGAGGTTCTGCTTTGAAGGCAGACAGCTGATCGTTAGGCTTTTTGCTTGTCCTTTTTGTGGAAGAACAAATGACAGACAGCAGAACATTAAGACTTTACTGCTTTGATAAGTATTAACCGGTGACTCAATAAAGGCACATCAAACAGCATACACACACACACACACACACACACACACACACACAAATACACTTTCTGTCTCTGCCACCAGCTGCGGCGTGCGCTGAACGGGAATGCAGAGCCATCTGGACGTCTATTAATCTTTTATTTTCGGTTGTTGTAGCCGAAATTAAGACAAATGTTTTGCACGGAGACAGATTGAAATTAATCATACATTTTCGGCCCACCGCGTACGTGCGCCTCAGTCAGCTTCCAACTTGGCCCAAGCCTGATGGGTATTTTTGGCACAGTGTTTGTGTTGCCATGCTGACCTGGCATGTGCACACACACACACACACACACACACACACACACATCAAACAGACACACACAGGATTAGAATTATATCCCAACATGACGACCTTAACCCCTACCCTGCCATAACCTTAACTATAAGTAACTGAACAAAATACAAGATTTTTGGCATTTTTACTTTTTTGATCGCATTCACAGATCTTTGTGGGGACCTGAAAAATGGTTTGATAACAACATAAAAATAACAGGTCTTTATCACATTGTGGGGGACATTTGGTGCCCACAATGTAATATAAACATAATCCACACACACAGACATACACATGTCATGTGAGGACCACCCATTCCTTTCTATGGGGAAAACTCTAATCCCAACAATGACAACCTTAACCCCTACCCAGTCATAACCTTAACCATAAGTAACCAAACAAAATCTGAGACTTTTGGTATTTTTAGTTTTTTTTGTTGCATTCACAGATTTTTTCAAATTTAGGTTTTCTCTTGTGGGGACTGAAAAATATCTTTGGTGCCTGTCAAACACTTGGCATCCTTAAAATGCCCGATGAAGCCTGATTCGGGAAGCTGTCTAACCTCCTCTTCTCCATTTAACTGTTTTTATCTCGAGTGGCCTTTGTTACCAGAATGGTGCTGTAACAGTGTTTTAAGCAACATGCCTAAATCCAAAACAATGCCTGTAAGAATGCCTTTGTAATAATGGTTCTGCTGTTAACTGAGGAATGGAGGACTTCAGCTGTTTGCTGGGAAGCAGCACTGCTGTAATTCTTGGATGATTTCATGCTGTGCAGTGAAATACACAGTCGTCAGCCTTTTTCCTCGTTTATGATTTACCTGAGGGGGCATTTTCCATCACGGATATTTCAGTAGGCAAAATGTCCCCAAAGCATTTCTGCTCCAGAATCATTCGATAAAGGAAAATTAAACACGAACCTGAGAAACCATTCTGTTGATTTACTCTGACGCCCCCGACACAAACAGCTGTTTAATATCCTCCCTAAAAGCCCCACATCCTTTTCCCACTGTTAACAAGCCATTATTGTGAGTTATTCCCTCCCCTCCATGAATAAATTAGAGTTTTCCTCTGGAAGGCGACCCAGCCGCGTGAGTGGAAGGGGGGGGTCTCACCGGCCCACGGGCTGGGCAGCGTGTGCCAGACTGTTTTGCATTTCCGGGCCCTTCTCGCACCCGTGGGGGAGCAGGGCCGGTTGGGGGCGGCTCAGATCACTGCCGAGGGTGTCTTTAACAGTGCATGAGTTTCCATGTGCTTAATGGTCATGTTTGCCAGCTTTTATGGGATGGGGGCGCGGGATCCGGTGAGGGACAGTCTCATGGTGCCCCACCTGATAGCCAGGGCTGTTCGTGTGCTGGGGGGGGGGGGGGGTTTGGGGGAATGGCTGCTGCTTATGTTGAGGCAGAGGAAACAAAAATGAAATATTTTCTTTGCAAGCCAATTGCCCTCTTCCTGGGGACGCTGCTTCCTGGGAATCTCGCATTCTTCGCCTTTCGATGATGTCATACTTGTTTGCTTCTTAGCTTCATTCGCTCCCTTTAATAGTCTTATTCTATCTTATTGCTCAGCCTTTTCTCCTGATGCTCTGCTTTGGCTCAGTCTGTAGGTCTCTCTCCTGGTGATCTTCCCAGAAGAGCTTTTTCTCCTTGCTTTTCCTGATCTGCTTTAACCATCTCCCACCAGCCATCCCATCGAGCCTGAGCTAATCTCATATTTGCCCCCCCCCCCCCCGGCAGGTGGACCGCCAGTCCCAGTTTATCCAGGGCTACAGGGTGCTCTACCGGCAGATGTCTGGTGTATCTGTGCCTGGCATCTGGCAGAGTCAGGACGTGAAGGTGCCATCGGAGCGCGGTGTGCTGCTCTCATCCCTCAAGAAGGGCATCATGTACGAGATCAAGGTGCGGCCCTTTTTCAACGAGTTCCAGGGCACGGACAGCGAGTCTAGGAGCGCCCGCACCTCCGAGGAAGGTAAGGGTATACCCGGGACCCACACATCTCAGAGGGGACAGGCATTGCATCTTACAGACCCTGACACACAGGTGATCTGTCCTCTGCTGCTGTTGTCTTGTTGTTTTCCATCTTAAGCATGACTCATCATTCTAAGGATCGTCACCTGAGCAGCAGCAAACAGTGTTTCTGTGAAAACTCTAACTACCCACTTCTTATGTCAGTTCATGAAATGTTACTTTGTTTCGAGTTCAGCCTGGCTTGACGTAATGCAATGCAATCGTTGAATAAAGTTTATAAGGAATGTGATCTATTACATTGCTGTCTAAATAGTCTAGATATTCCCATCTTTGCTCTATTTGAGTCCTCTAACTTAGAGGTTGTGCTAATTCATTCATGCCCGCCTCGTTAGTCCCCTGCAAAATTCTGATTGGCTGTGGGACCAGTCAATAAATGCTACCAGTTTGTCCAAAGACAGTGATGGTTAATAACAGCCATTGCACACAGACTAGGAATGAGGGCAGGAAGGTGGATGGATGGATGGATGGACATAATCTCTCACATGTGAGGAGACGCACCTGGACACACACTCGCTTTTTCAGGCGTCCTCATTCTGGCTGTAGAGCAGGGTGACAGACGCCCTTTTTCAGCTGCATCTTCTGCGAGTGTCCCCGCCTCAGCATGCGCCTCTGGCAGACCCCCCCACTCTTTGTCAGCCCGGGTGACCTGCAGGCTGCTCGTATCTGGATGCTGTCCCTGTTCGCGCTGTGCCAAAACCAGGGACCCCCTCCCCCCCAGAGTCAGACAAACCTCGAAACACAGAAGAAAGCTCCTTTCTTAAAAGATAAAGGAAACGAACAAATGAGCTGCCGCCGCTTTGCCTGCCGGCCGCTATCCCGCTAGCTGCCTCCTCCAGCGGAAATCGCGCTCCGGCGCGCAGGACAATGCAAATGCAAAAGCGCGCCTGAGATACACAGCCAATGAATGCGTGCAAATCACCGTATTTTTATGCGGCGAAGGAGATAAGGTGGCAGAAACAAAACCAATTACAGCATGAACATCGTGTCAGGATTTTAATAATGCCGCTTTGCTGTGTGCTGCCACAAAGACGCATTTAGCCCCGACCTCATAGAGCAGCCAGTGTTGTGTGTGTGTGTGTGGGGGGGGTGGGGGGTACACAGCTCAGTCCGGCAGTTTTGGGATGAGCCCCTCCCTGCAGACGGATCAGAAGATTCTATGGGAGGGGGTGTTTTGGCACCTGCTGACTAAGAGGGAGAGCGATTGAAATCAAAGTGATTAAGATTCCTGTGTGCCCCCCTGGGAGGGTAATGGCAGTACTTGTATATCTGAGCACGAATGTTAAGGCATCTCTGTCACCTCGCAGTGCTCTTACTGGCCAGCAGGGGGAAAGAGCTCACTGTCACTGCACCATAACTCCTGATGATTCTAGCTTGCTCACGTGAAGGTTGCCATTGTCCATGGCTAGAAAGTGCAGGTCGCTTTAAATGAACAGTGTCAGCCATGCAAATAATGGGCATATGGGCACCGTGTGGAGCAACAGCAACGCTGTACCCTTTCTGTAGTGCATTTCTTTTATTGTATAAACCTGATTTTCTGGAGACTTCATACAGGGACGTCAGATGTGCTTAACCTGTGATGAATCGGCAGTTGTGCACGTCCCTCCCGTCTCACTGTCTTTTATCATATGTACAGTTGCAGTAAAAATCCATAACGGCCCCCAGCCATACATCGCAAGGCTAGCGGGTCTGCTGGTCGCCCCCCTCCTGATATTTGTGTGTGTTTGCGGTGGCTGGGTCGCTCCCCCTCTAGGAAGGGGAGGCCCACCTGCTGTACCCATGTCTATTCTCTGCCAGTGAGCACAGCCAGGAGCGAAGCCCCCTGCCGCTTTTTTTTAAAGAATGCAAACATTTATTACAGCATGGAGGTCATTCATCTTCTGCTGGCAAGGCCTTTCTCGGGGTGGGGTGGGGGGGGGGGCTGCATGAGGTGAGAGATGAGGAGATTCCGAGCTGTGCTCACATCTTCTTTTTTTTGGAGAGGTTGGGGGGGCAGATTGGGACGGGGGCTTGGAGTAATTGACCTGTCAGCACTCTGCCGTAGCATGGCTCCCTGGCTCAGGGCTGTGGAAATGAGAAAATGTTTTTAAACATTTCATTTCTGAGGCGGCCCCGTGCCCGCAAGTTCATGGTCCAGTGGGCGAGTGTTTCTGCCCGCCTGCCCACCTACCTGTGGGCATCCTGTCAGGAGGCTCGCCACGGCGATGTGACTATCGTTCATCATTCCTGACTCTGTAACCTGGCCTAAAGTGACCCAGAGATGCTGGATCATCGTCGCGTCAAAGTCTGTGCCCAGCTCTCAGCACCCAGCCCCTCCTTATCGCACCGTCTAACTGAGCGATCTAGATTATGTAGGAACAAGCGCCTTTACGTCCATGTCGGCCTGCCCTTTTCCCTCTCTCTGTGCCTGCTTTTAAGGATGAACAGCCCTGCCTGCAGTGTCTGTGTCTGTGCTTCTCCCAAGCAGAGCCCATCCCTCATCGAGTAAAAATAGTGCTTTATTTTGCATGCGAGAGTTTTTTAATGAGGCCGACAGCACACTCGGGAAGCACGTTTGGCCAATTTCACCGGGTGATATGTCAGCTGCTGTTCCCCGGCCCAGCTCCCAGCGCCCCTCCCCAGCAGGTGACCGTCCTGACCGTGGGGAACCAGAACAGCACTTCTATTAGCATCTCCTGGGATCCCCCGCCCGTAGACCACCAGAACGGCATCATCCAAGAGTACAAGGTAGGCAGCATGCGCCGTCATCCCTGACGTCTGCATTCCCCAGCGATTTGGGAACAGAAGGCCACTAATTAGTCGGAAAGCAGTATATATCAGAGCAAGTGCACAGGCGTGGCTCTCCATCATCTGCAGTCCTTCTAAAAAGCACAAATTCTGCCAACATGTATATTCTGATGAATGGTCTCCTCCTGTTTACAATATTTCTTATGTTTTCAAGATATAAGCAGCCTTCATGGGGCGGATCTATAAAACCTTATGGATCATCTCTCTCTCTCTCTGTGTCTCTTCCACCCTCCACGCTCTTAGATTTGGTGCCTGGGTAATGAGACCCGTTTCCACGTGAACAAGACCGTGGACGCCGCCATCCGCTCTGTGGTGGTGGCGGGGCTGCAGGCTGGGGTGTTGTACCGGGTGGAGGTGGCAGCCAGCACCAGTGCTGGGGTTGGGGTCAAGAGCGAGCCCCAGCCAATCATCATAGGTGAGAATATGAGTGGGGGGGTCTGGCCAGCAGGGCGGCGCTAACCTTAATTGTTTATTGTTATTATTGAAATACTTCATTAGTAATTTGGCAGAGTGGCAACTCTAAAATTGGAAAATAACAATAAAAATGGATTGGTAGTGCATTTAAATGTAGATTTAATTTGATTCTCACGATAAGGATAATAACATTTCCAGCCAAACTGTCAAAAAGATAAGAATCAGTGTAGTCGAATTAACAGAAAACTTATCATACTAGCTGCAAAGAATTAATTACAATACTAGGATATTTGATAGGAAGGAAGCAAAAGAGAGAAAGTGCCAGTGTTTGGGCATTATAGCTTCGCCTTCAGGCCTTACATTTAAAGCAGCGATTAGGCGTTACATTTAAAGCAGCGATTAGGCGTTACATTTAAAGCAGCGATTAGGCGTTACATTTAAAGCAGCGAGCGCGAGGAGCCCACTGGCTCTGCAGCTATTCAGCTCGTCCCCGTCAGCACGTACACTAGCCTGCGTGAAGATGAATGAACTTTTACAGATAAGTGCCACTTATTACGCTTGTATGTATAGACATGTAATTAACCAGCTGTTACACTGTGCTGGGCAGAAATAAACTGTGTATTTAATGTGTTGTTGGTCATTTTGCTTATTAGTATAGCATACTATTGGGCTGTAGGATACTGCAGACATTATAGCAGTATTTTTAAAATGAGCTTTTAAACCCTCAGGGGCAAAAATATTATGATTGTCTGTGTTGCGTTGCCCTCTGGACACAGACGGATATTCAGCAAACGTGAAAATGGTGCATCACCACTGTTCGGTGACAGCAATACGCACGATTAAACGTGTCAGGGTTTACTTTAGCTGCTGTGAATTTGGGAGAAATTACATATTATTTTTGCTGCATTATGAAATTTGTTAAAATCTTCTTCTGTGTGGGCCTGTTTCCAGGATAATATAAAAAGGATTACATACAGACTTGCATATGGGATTATATGTAGGCTCCCCTTACGTCCGAGTGAATGTGGCCCGTGTGCATCTCTGCGTTCGCTTGCCCTAATGCTTTTTGGTTCTGTGGCTAACAGCTGATCCCGCCAGGTTTGACCTCCATCCGGTAGCCTGGCCCAAACATTCCTTTATTTCCCCAATGACATGTCTATAATCCACTTCAATATCCTTCCCGCACACGCTAACAAATCACACTGTGTTATTGTGCGTGTGACCCGGACAACCAAGTCTTATTACATTTCATGAAACAGTACAAGCTAGTTCTACGCCGCAGATCAATAACAGAGTCTCTAGATATAGTTTTTTTTTTTCTTTCTTTTTTCTCCCTGGGCCAGAAATAAATCGGTACACAGAAGAAAAAACAGCCCAGCTCACTTGAGGCTTAATTACAAAATTTAGCCTTCACTCATAGACGGTAGGCTATAAATCTAATTTCACAGCACGATAGGTAAATCACAAAGTCAAACCGCGTCTCGATCTCTCTGTCAGCCTTGTCTATATATGCTGAGATTGACAAACAGAATATATATTGGATTGATTAATTCTCCTCATGTCAAGATTTCCGTTTTTCTCGCAAGCTGGAAAAGTCAAGGAGGTTTTCTTGCCAGGAAATGTGTTTATTGGCTAAGAATTTGTCTTTGTTGCTGCCAAGTTAATGCAAAAGCCACAAATAAACAGATATATAAATCCCTCTTATTTACTTCAGAGCAGAAGGATCTGGGGTCATGCGATGTCGTGATGCTGGCTCTGATCCCGCATGCATCCATGGGCTCTTTGTCACCCCCCAGGCAAGGATTTCAGGGACGTGGTCATGAGCGGGAACCGGAACAACAGCATCACCGAGCAGATCACGGACGTGGTGAAGCAGCCGGCCTTCATCGCCGGCATCGGCGGGGCCTGCTGGGTCATCCTCATGGGATTCAGCATCTGGCTTTACTGGAGGAGGAAGAAGAGGAAAGGTCTGAGCAATTATGCAGGTGAGAGCACAGCTCCACCGACTAGCCGGAACACTCAGCCGGACTTACAGTATCCTGCCTACAGAAACACACGCGTGTAGATCCAGCTGATAATCAGGATGTTCCAAAATGTTTCCTAATTTAGGCAAGTGCAGTTTTATTATTATTTAATACCCTCTGAAAAAGTCTGAATAGAAAGCTACTTACACAATTCTGCACTGAGTATTGCCCTAGGCTTACATATAGAGCCAGCTCACACCTGGAGCACACAGCTGAAAGGCCATCGCTGCTCACACACACCCGACACTGATCGAGGTAAACAGATCCCAGCAGAAGGAGATCCACTCTCTGGTCTGCCTGAATGAACGCATGAAATGAGTGACGCAAGCTGCTGATTCATCCACAGCAAATATACTGTATGCTCATCCTCTATCATTTTCTGTTGATCTTAAGAATGACAACTCCGTGTACGAAGGATTCATTTTGGTGTTTCTTCATTACCCCATGATACATTATCAGGCTTGTCAAATACATCCCGTTATTCGCTAGCATGGCAGCCCATCATCTGGAGAAGGACCAGGTGTATGGTTAGTGCATGCTGTAAGGAGGAGTCAGACGGCATCCCTGCTGGACAGTGAACATGGCGGAGTGGCAGCCGCCTTCTTCGCTGGTGTATAGCCCTCTCAGATCCCCCCCCCCCCCCCCCCCCCCCCCCCCCCCCCCCCCCCCCCCCCACTCAATGGAGCCACCCTGACATTTAGAGTGGGGGCTGGCTGGCGTGTGGGGGGGTGCAGCAGAGGCTAATGGGCGAATGTTAATGTCTTAGCAGCTCTGCACTGAGGAGATGTAGCTGAACCAGAGCCCATAATAATGTTGTAATTTCGTTTGATCTTAATTTCTGATCTATCACTACTGTGGTTTTTGTCGATATCTGCTACTGATTTAAAAATATCCAATATATCTCTCCAGGCTTTATCTTCTCCCAAATCTTTCTGTTTTTCCTCTCTTTTTGAGCCCCTCGTCTCTCCCGCTGTGCCAGGCTTTATACCAGGAATCCCTCCCTAAATGCTCTCAGTGTTCCTCCTCCAGCTTTCCTGCTTTGTGCTTAATGTTCTCCATTTTCCATCCACTCCTGGGATTTGCAATTGGAGGGTGCACCTTTTGGATTCTGCAGTGAAGCAGACCTGCCTCTCTCTCTCTCTCTCTCTCTCTCTCTGCCCCCGCCCCTCCATCTGCCCTCACTGAAAGCTCGCCCTTCCCGCTCACTGGCTGTGCCCCTGCATGCTCCTGCTTTACGTCTCCTCGCTCCCCTTCGAGCCGCGGCCACTGCCTGTGCACATGCTCAGATCCAGCCCCGATCAAACCTTCTCTCAAGCTTTTAATACTCAACTCTTTCTGTCTTCTTGTTTTGCAGTTCAGTCCTTCACCTTCACCCCTGCAGGTACTGTCCATTTGTCCTGTCTCCTCACTCAGTGACACACCCTGTTCACAGATGTCATTACCCACAGTAATGTCGTTTTTTTCATATCTGATAATGTTTTAATTGATGCCATTGGGGACAGAGAGAAGAGACTGCTGTAGATGCTGTAAATTCCTGTAAATCCCATTCATTTAATTTAAAACCGAACCCTTCCATAGTATTATTTAAAAATATACACCCTTGAAGAAAGTCAGTACACTGTTTTCTTTAATTCACATCCAGTAATCATGACCCAAAGATCCAAGGACTGCAAGGAGCATGGCTCCCTTAGTTGTCCTGTTCTGTGCCTGTATGTCTCTGTTCCCCTGTACCGTGCACATGCACTGTCTCTGTCCCCTCTGCCACTGAGACCTTCTGTAGTCTGCTAGTGTGCTTCACTTCTGTCCTTCTTCGGTGGTCTCTCAGTCCTCGTCCCAGGCACCTTGTCAGTGGCGCCAGTCTTATTGTTGTCCTTGTGAAAAATGGCTTTCCTTCCTGTTACTCTCTTTGTCAGTACCCACCAAGCCCGCTTTAATTCTCCAGGTCTTGTGATCCAGTTGCTTTTTCATGATCCAGGGGTCATTGGTGCTGTTTTTTCGTCTGGGGTTATAATTTTTATGGCTACTCTTTTATATCTGTTCTCTTTGTGGCTTTATTGGGTGATTTTTTTTCTCTGGGTGACCTTTGGTGCTTTTTCTAGTGACATTGATGCTTAGAGGTTTCATAAGGATCCTTTGACTGCTTCTATCGTCAGTCTGCATGAGGCAAACAGAAAGGAAGCTGGCGGGCCCTGTTCCCTGACCCTGCGCTTTGCGGCCTCTTCGCTTGCCGAAGGCTTTTATTTCTCATCTGCTCTGTTGTTTAAAGGAGATGTTTTCAGATCTGTGATTATAAACAAAGTTTTTTAGATCAGCCAGTCCAAACACACCGTCCCCTCCCGTGATCTCTCGCTTGTGGTATTAGATGCTGGCTGTGAAATTGCGTTTAATCACATGGCAAACACATTTCACCAGATTGTTTCAATTCTCTTCCATATTGGCCGCTTCACTCAGTGCGTAACCTCTCCCACACACTTCATCTTGGTGCCTGTGCCAGTTTATTTACATGTATGGGCAGAGTGGGAGCCCAGGGGGGCTGTTGAGTCTGCGTGTTCGCTCCGTGTTTCTGGGGATTCGTTTAGGAGCCCTTTAGTCCTCCCACGCACCAAACATAGACTCGTCATACAAATTACAGACTGAATGTTCCTTGTGTTTCATGTCTCTGAGGGTGCATGTGTGCCTATGAGTCTATGGCAATGGATGGCTGTCCTCTCTATGGAGTTCCTAGGCTTACCCTCCCTATGTTAGACTCTGGATCACTATGACCTGATTGAAGAAGTGATCACTTAATTAAATACACCTACGTAATACTGGCTAGGATCCCTTTTTCTCTAAAGATTAGTCTGAATGGTTCTGGAAGTTTTCGTACTTGTCAGCTTCCTGTACAATCACTCTCATTAGCAAGGTTTTCACATTCAGGACTGACACTGACTAAATATTTTTTATCACATCATTCTCTGTGAACTCTTGACACTCTACTATGTGAAAAACCCTGGATTGTGAGATGCTGGAACCACAAACATTCATACCATCTTCAAAATCATATCGCTGATCTTCACTCCTATAGGCGACCCTCTGGATGCACTCTACATGCTTAATGCCTTGAACTGTAGCCTGGTGTTTGCTTATGGGAGACAGCATTGGCATTAACCAACAGGTGTGCCTGAAAAAGTGGGCGCTTTTTGCACATGGGTGCCTCTGGTGGCTTATGGGTGTAACCTTCCTGTCACACTCATCTAGGACTGTGTTGGTGTTTTTACGGTCGAAATGAGGTGCTACCCTGGGCATGAAGATGAGGTTGTGGGTGAGAATTTCATATAGCTGTCCTCTGGCCTAGTGGCATATGTCTTGTTTGGGATTTAATCTGGGCTGTAGGGCTTTGTGGGGGGGGGGGGTGTGGTGGATTGGAGGGCAGAGAGACGGATGAGGTGTGCAGGAAATGCCGTGCAGTTGGCTCTTAAAGCTTTCGTTGCACGGGTTTGGGCATTCTGGGAGGTGGGGGTGCGTAAATCACAGGCAGCACTGGCATTCAGGCAGCTGGGAAGATTTGATGGAATTTTTATACCATGATTACAGCCCCCACCCCCCTGTTAATGCTTATTAAGGGGGATTAATCCGTGCTCATATTGGAGAAAGTGTTTATCGGAAAGGAGAGCGGAGCCGCTGGGTGCCCGCCTGCCTGCCGACATTAAAGCGGGAAATGTGTCGGCCTGCAGATACGAACATCAGAGGGTGATGTCACACAGGAGCAGCAGCACGGCCTCGCCACGGCTGTGTGTGTGTGTGTGTGTGTGTGGGGGGGGGTGCTGAAGAATAAAGGGAGAGGCCCGTGTTTGGGGAAAATGTCACCTGTGTCCTGTGGAGGGCTTCTGCCTCGCTGGGGTGTATATAAGCCCCTAAGCACGTCAGGCTGCCAGAGACGGGCTTGCTGGGGTGTGCTCCCCCTTCCTCACTGGTATACTGGGGGGCAATCTTCCAGCCATTTCCTAAAATGCTAGTTTGACGTATCTCTTGGGGTTTGGCTGATAGAAAACAAAAAAAACCAAGATAGAGCTTTGATGCTACTGCACCCCCCCCCCGACACACCTGTGCCAAACTGGGGCTGCCACCCTCCCCCCGACCCCCAAAGCTCCATCCTGTGACACTGCCACTGAGATCTCTTTCCTCTCTCTGCACTCAGCCTCTCTCTGTTGCCACACCATTGTTCTCTCTTCTCTGTAACAGCCGCAGTCTGTATCCTGAGAAATTAACAGTGTGATTAAACAGAAGGAGGAATGGAAATGTGTGGAATCCTTCCTTTAATCTCCATCTGTGACCCAAACGGGAATGTTGCTCTGGCATTTTCTCATGGGAGGGGCACATTTCCCGGGGTGTGGGTTTGCTTACTACTTCAGGACCCTGCCAAGGACTTCCCCCGATTTGGCTCTGATTTCTGTTTCGGGTGGAGATGCAGCAGGGAGCTGAAGAGAAGCTAAACCCATCAGAGACCAGGGGGCAGCTGTCTGTTCATATCCATATATCTCCATAGTGCTGGCCATACGCTTGGGGACAGCTGTGTGAGAGCCCATAAGAGTGACATAGCTGCTTCCATTAGCACAAAGCCTTTAACGTCCTCATGACGCCATGTTTGCAGTGGCCCCTGCAGTAATCGGTCGTATGAATGGGGGCAGTCAGAGGTGACTCTGTCCTTACCTGCCATCTCCCCTCTCTCTCCCCGCTCTCTGGGTCCTGCTGCCCACCCCTCCCTGCCCCCAGTGACGTTCCAGCGTGTGGACGGCGGCTTGATGAGCAATGGAAGGTGAGAGCACAGGGTCCGCCATGGGGGGGGATGTCTACCACAGGTGAATTGGGAGTGTCCCAGCAGCCCCCTCATTCCGTACCTGCAGCATATAACGTAAATACGCTATAGATACATGGCATGGCCTCTCAGTGGACAGCACTGCTGTTCCCCCCCTCAGGGTCGTGGGTTTGAATCCCACCTCCTCCCTGTGTGTGTGTGTGTGTGTGTACGCTGTAATGGATTGGCATCCCATCAAGGGTGTACACACACACTGTATTTAGATAAAGAGGAATTCCTTATTATTAACCCATAATTTGTTACATAAAAATTGCATGTTAGGTGAAAGAGAGAGAAAATTTATCTCTCTGCTTTCCATGCTATAATTTAAAAGCTGGTTCCAGAGGTGGAAGATGTCTTCACCTTTACGCAGCACTGAATGGTAGTGCAACACAACTGCACTCGACTGGGTGAGGATCGTCACCGAGATGGACGAGGTTCATGGTGTTGCTCGGTGAACAATGAGAGTCACAGGTGTACGTTCAGGCATACCGCGGCATTTTGGAAGTCATGTGTGACGACTCACATACCTGAATGAATCACTACAGATTTTAACATCCGAAAAGATCTTATTAGAGGAAAAATTGGCTTCTACTGACAAAAGCTATTGTGATTTGCTTATTTCAAGGAAGCTTCCAGTGTCTGCCTCCATCTGTGCAGTATGTATCTTGTTGCTTATTTATACGTATACTGTACCGTGCACATAAACATGCCGACAAGCATATACCCAAAACATGCACACATTCATGCATTAATAGATGAAGTCATAAATCTCCCTGAAAGAATTAGCAGAAACAATTTAAGCCAAGAGGGGTTTTATTTTATCATTTATCTTCTGCCGCTGCTGCAAAGAATTCTGGGGCCCCCAGAGTGATGAATTTCCCTGTCACCTCACTCGGGCGGCTGGAATCAGAGCATGTGTAATGATGTAAAAATAATTACCCAGGGGAACTGTGCGCAGGAAACCCCTCCCCGCCCCAGCAAGCCCCCTTCCTCTCCTCCCCGTCTGGGGTGCCAGCTGATTTGAATGACACCAGTTACAGACTCGATAAGGGTATTCAGCAGAGACCCTTGGGACCCCGGCTCCTCTGTCTCTTCTCCTCTTTCCCTTATCACACCTGAATAGGCAGGTCCAGCACCGGTCTCACACACTTGCCCTGGGACTCAAAATTAATTAGGACCCTTTCAGTCACACATACGGACACACATGTGCGCTCATGCACACTCACTTGCGGAGAGACACACTTCAGTAAACACATATATATTTACTCGCCGCCTCCCGGAAATTGCATAGTAGTAAATGTAGTTATATATACACTCGCCTGTGTGCCCACGTATAAATTTGTATGTGTTCTGGTCGTGCCAGAGTGGGGTTTTGTGTTTCCAGTGAGTGCGCGGAAAAATGAGCCAGACCGATTGCCGTTCTGTTGTCTTGTTTCCGCTTCGCTCGAGTCCTGCAATTTTCCAGCTAAACGGGCAGCGCGCTCGCCACAGCGGGTGGGGTTGTGGGGCAACGGAGTCCCCGGGGGCGACTGCATCTTCAGCCCCCACCCCTCTCCCCCCAGAAGGGATGTGAAGGAGCTCCAGCAGCAGACAGTCACACCTTTGCAGAGTCACCCAGGCCATATGTTCCGGGTTTTTATACCCGGTCCCAGCAAGTAGTAGAGGGGAATGTGTCCATTTGTTATGTGGGATGTTTATTGCATTAATTAGACAATAGCAAATGAAGCCACGTCTATTCCTGCCTTCTTATTGGCTGTTGCCAAATTGCCCTGACGGAACAATTACACTTAATCGATCACAGAATAAATGATTCATGGAAGATGAAGAGGCTGCAGATTGGTAAGCTTGGATCCATCAACTTTTGCTGCTCGGCTGAAATTGATAAAAGCCGATAACTTGCAGTGCGTCCTCATCCCTTGTCCTTTGTCAATATGGAGATTGTAATTAGGAGGTAGTAATAACTTCCTATCTTTCCCGCAATCGATACCTCAGCAGGAGCAGATTAGGTCCTAATGAGAGATGGTGGACAAGGCCGTTCAGTCAGTGAATCGCTGCGTTACTCGATTCCGGAAGCCGGAGTGACAGGAGGCTAGAAAATGAATATCCGTGTTGCGACATTACTTAAACGACTGTTAATGAGGGGGTCCCATTCCACAGCCAGTGCGTTGGACCATAAAGGTCTGATTTATGAACTTGTTTCCCTGGTAATATCACTTTGTCGTCTCGTTTTTTGTTTCTCTTGCTTGATTCATAATGGGCCGTATTTCAAATATTGACTCACAGTGTGTCTTTAATACAATGGTGGGGTGCGTAGACGTTAACGCACACACGGTCATGCCTGGCCCTAACCCAGAGCAACGCACTTCCGCACCTGTGCTCCCCAAGCCGTGACGCCCATTTAACAAAAACAGCCACCAGCAGTTAGTCTCCTTCTCATTTCCTCTCCAATGATAAACACAAGGACGAGGCCCCCGTTCCTGCTGTCAGCAGCCCCGTCATGCTGCCTCACTCATCATCATCCCGCCGTTTTTTGGTGGGGGGGGTGGTCCTGTCAGATCGTGTATCCCACTCCTCATCTCTGTCAAACCCTCAGACTTTGGAGGGCTGATGAGTACTGGGGAAGGGGGGGGGGATGAAAGGGAGGGCAGGATGTGGGAGGAGAGGAGAGAGAGGGTAACGATGTGACAGACGGGGGTGAAGGAGCAGCAGAATATTGGGGAGGGGGGGTAGGGTACTGAGATGTATTACCCAATCAGCAGTGAGGGTGTCTGTCGAGCTGCTGAGCGACTGGCTTCCCCTCAGGGTCCGTTTTGGCGCACAAGCGTTCCATTGGCTCCTTTTAATTAGGCAGCACTCTGAGCCCCATCCCGCTGCCCACCAGCACGCAGCATCTGGGACTTCAGATTCCAGCTTTGCTGCCAAGAGAAATCCTTCCATAGGGCTCTTCAGTCACCAATGCGGTAGCTCCCAGCTGTGAGCTCTGCCCCAGTAACGAGGTTTACATATGAAGGAATGATGTAATGGCTCTATTGATGACAGGCTTTACATTTTCAGGCCTTGACCTTCTCTTTATGGCCCAGCGTAACGTGGGACAGACCTTCACCCTGTCAAGCTGTTTCACCCTTTGCCCAACCTGAGAACTGTGACTAGTTATTGGGGTGGGGTCAAAAATAGAATTGGACTGCACCATTTGTGCAGTGTGGAGAGGAGATTTTATTAAGAAATGGTATGGCAGAGAGCAATGAAGAGACCACAGAGGTGAGAGAATGAGAATTTTTGCCTCAATAAAAGAGTAACGGAGAGGGGGATGAACAAAGTTGGTAGGGGTGGGGGTTTGTTTGAAATAGTAGGAGTTCACCAGCCTCAAGGATTTTAATCCCCTAGAGGAAAAGCCCCATTTCCCATGTCAGGGTATGAAATTTGTAAGGGCCTCATTACTGGCAGAGTCTCTCCTCCAGGCATAAAACATACACATGTGCACAAACACTCATGTATGTTTGATGTAATTTCTTTACTCAGCCTCCCTATAGACTTCAGGGAGGTTTTTATTCTCAATCCCTGGAATCCTTTGAAATCGCTGTATTTTTAAAAAGTGAATATCTTTAGAAGCCACGCCCCCACCCAGCACCAGCAAGCCCATGTCTGACTCACGCCGCTCTCTCCCACAGCCGGCCGGGCCTCCTGAATGCCAGCGATCCGGCGTATCCTTGGCTCGCAGATTCCTGGCCCGCTACCAGTCTGCCCGTCAACAATGGCTCCGGGGGCCCCAATGACATGGGCAACTTTGGCCGAGGAGGTAAGATCGCGAGCTCCTGTAATCCCGTTATATGCCAGCAGCCCCCGTGTTACATGTTACGCTTTACAGCCTAAAAGCCTGAACACTGTGAACACATTCAGAATGATTTCTCTCAAATGCAGAAACAGTAGAGTGCCTCAAAACTCTTGCTATTCTGTACCGTGTTTATATACAAATTGTGCTTTTTGATATTTCGTTTAATAAAGATTGAATATTTTGATAATCATTCATTCTGATAGACTAACAATAAAGGAAAAAATCATATTCCATAATGGGCAAAAATAAAAAGCCAAAAAGCCTGTTGTGTGTGTGTGCGTGAGTTTGGATAGATCACATTTGGTGACCAAAATGTCCCCAAAGTGTGCTAAAACCTGAAACTTCCTTACTTCTTCGGGTCCCCATTTGGATAACCTCAATTTTATAAAAATCTGTGAATGCAATCAAAAAAGTAAAAGTGCCAAAATTCTTGCATTTTGGTTGGTTACTTTTAAGGTTAGGGATGGGTAGGGTCGTGATTGGGATTAGGGTTTTTCCCATATAAATGAATGGACACTCCCCATTTAGATAGGTAGGTCAGCATGTGTGTGGGTGTGTGTGTGTGTAATCCCATGTGGCTCATATGTATATGTTACATTGTGGGGACCAAATGTTCCCATAATGTGAGAAAAACCTTTTCTTTTTATATAATGTGGGGACCATTGTCATGGAATCGATCTGGCAGAGCCACACTGTCATAGCCTCGGTCTGGTACAGGAACACTGTCATAGCCTCGGTCTGGTACAGGAACACGGTCATAGCCTCGGTCTGGTACAGGAACATGGTCATAGCCTCGGTCTGGTACAGGAACACTGTCATAGCCTCGGTCTGGTACAGGCACATGGTCATAGCCTCGGTCTGGTACAGGCACATGGTCATAGCCTCGGTCTGGTACAGGC